AAAAAAAAGACTGTAACGGCTAAAAAGAAGAAGGAGAAGAAGAAAAAGGAAACAGATAGGGTTGATAGGAGAGTGAGATAATAATTAGAAGAAAACAAATAAAAATTCCGAAAAGATTGTTAAATAAAGAGAGGAAAAGAGAAGATTAGGTTTGGGCGTGAGAGAAAGAAAGTTCGCGGGAAAGAGAAGAAGTAATGCAGTAGAGTTTGCGAAAGAAAGAGAGTCCAAACGGCAATAAGATTCAAAATATGAACATGATGGAGACTCTATATAAGGCGCGTACGTTAGAAAGCCAAGGGAGCGATAGTTAAGCCTTATGTGAGGGTCGGTTGGTTTCGGACGGATACAGCGCCTCTGTGTATACAAACTTCACATACAAGAAACAAATTTAATATTATTTTATTTATTTATTTTTATTCAGATGATATTATTGGTACTGTAGTATAACTCGAAATAATCAACTAAATTAATTTTTTTTATTAAATCATTATTTCATTTATATATTAATACTACATTACTAAATAGGATAATGCATTACTTTGAATAAATATTTTGAGAAATCATTCTAAGATGGGCAACATTAGTTGTTAAGAAAGTAGCTTAGCAAAATAATAATTTTTACCCATCAATGGATAACAATGGATAGCCCACCGGTAAGGACAAACTAAGGAGATTGTAAATGGTTCAATTTGGTCCAACATACAGTCTCATGTTCAATTTTCCGTTGGACATAAAAATAGTATCTTTACCAATGATTTATTTGAAGATTGCGTCTTGAGGATCATGGCGGTGGATTGCTATGGGATAGTGGCATGCGTTAATTGATCTAGACATCTCAGTTATTAAATAATAATAATTTTTGAAAATGTTTTTAAAAATATGAAATTATTGGTGAAGAAATTAGCATAGCAAAATAAGGATATAAGTTAAATGTATAAACAATAAAATAAGTAAATATTTGGCTAAAAATAGAACTAAAACAACCAGAAAATAAAACTTTGGAGCCCATTAGCCCAAAAAAGATTCGTTAAGTGATGATTCTCAGTGCGCATAAACAGTGGCATCTTCCACACGAAAGTTCTCGTATCATACAAAGATTGGTGGCATCAAGTTCAAGGAGTGATGACTATTTGTATTAAAAGAAAATGTCAAAACTAAAAAGGGACTAGAAGATAATGCTGCTAATGAAGATGGAAAAAAATAGTGCTTAAGTAGCAATTAGTGGTGAAGAAAGGGGATGGAGGCAGGAGGAAATAATGGATATATCTGTCAAATTAGGAAGGATGGGTTTATCGTTTTTGCAGTGGATTTGCTTACCAAGTATCATTTTTTGCCCAAATATTTGATGACAGTATTTAGAACTTTCATGTGGAAAACTATCAAAGTTGGCCTCACTATCACTCCTGAGGTAGTTTTCTTCACCAAGATTACCCACTTGATATTTGATTATATAACATGATCATTAGCTAACGGGTGAAGTGCAGATAATCAAATTGAAAAGAGAATGTCGTATGATCCAGCCAATTTAAAGAAGGATAAAAAAAAACAATCAACAATTTCATGAATGAAAATTTTAGCAATCTTAAACTTTGTATTATTTGTGTGTCGAGCTCAATACCCCTATTTCTTATTTGCAAAGAGACGGTGATTCAAGAATTATAGGCTGAATATATTTGTGACCCCGGAAGAGTGTTATTTTCAAATAGTGATATTGTGTTTTGCCGATAGAAATTCCAAATTTATAATTGATTGTGTGTTGTGAGTTGTGTAACCTCGAGATACTCTTCGAATTGCTTTCTGTAATTTATTTTTTCAAAATAGTTCTTGCAATGGTAATCGGTTATGACTGCTAGGGACTTTTACATAATTTAGCTGGCCAAACGACATACACATACCCAAGATTTGGAGAAACAACAGATTGGTACCCAAAAGGTTTCAAAAAGACAAATTGATATCTTTTGTTAATGAAAAGACTAGAATGCCCTTTGAGAAATATTAGTCTAGTTTTTTAATTACGTTTAAACCCCTTAAGTTTATTAATTTCATCAAATACCATTAGAAAAGGTTTAAAAATTAACAAAAACACCCCCACCCACCCATACTTACCAGATTCCGGGGGCCACCGCTGGTGGTTGTCGGAATCTGTCACAACGGTCTACGTCACACCGTAAATGACCGATAATTCATTGACCTACCCTTTTCCGGCCAGATCCACAGTGGATCTGGCTGGAAAAGGCCAGATATGACGTGAAAAGGCCAGATCTGGCCGGAAATTGACGGCCAAAGAAATGGCCATCGTTGACTGTCAACGACGGCAAATCTTGGCCATCGTTGACAGACAACGACAACCATTTCTTTGGTCGTCACTTTCCGGCCAAATCTGGCCTTTTCACGTCAGATCTGGCCGGAAAAGGTCATATCAACGCCTTACCCACCAGATCCGATCAATCTGTGGTGTAACACAACTTTTCGACAGATTCCGGAGGTGGTGGCCGGAATCTGGCACCGCCGGTGGTGGGAGTGTTTTTGTCATTTTACAAAAATTTTATGTATTGGGGTATTTAGTTATATTATTAAACCTAGGGGGTTTTTAAAATATTTACAAAACTAAAATATCAAATTTTAAGGGTATTTTAGTCTTTTTATTAACAAAAGGTACCAATTTGTCTTTTTGAAACCTTTTGGGTACCAGTATGTCATTTCTCCAAACCTTGGGTATGTGTATGTCGTTTGGCCTAATTTAGCTTGGCCCAAACCGAAATTGATTGATAACCCAGTAGGCCAGTAGCCCAGAACCATGTAATTTCCCCTTACATTTTTCCACCTTCTCCATATCACAAAAGGTGGAACCTTGGAAAGTTTATAAATCTTAGGGATTTTTTTTTTAATTTTTTTTTATTTAAGACATGGATCATATATTCATATAAAGGTAAGGTGCTCAACGAGTACTCCAACAATTTAGGACGTTTAGTTTTTTTTTTTCTCCCAGGGGGATGCTTTTGGTATTAAAGGTGAAAGTTTAACTTTTTACAACATAAGGCTAACATCAATTTTGATAAAAATTAATACATATTTTATTTATACAAAATTTCTGTTTCGTTTTCATGTCATCTATTTTTAATTATTAAAATTATTCATAATTTTCGATTGTATTTTCGATCAAGATCAAAATTAAAGTTTACATATTTATTATATTCCATTCGCACTTTGCAACGCTACAAATGTACTTCTACCTTGAACACAATTCCGAAGGAGTGGTTCCACTTTACATGTTTTAATGATATTTTAAATTAAAGCAAAATAAATAAATAAATAACTCCATGGACAATGACTTCCATAAGAACTTCATGTAAGATATATTAAAGACTAAATTTATATATTATCATCATCATTATTATGTAAAATATGGAATAATTATTTACATACCTTTGTTGAGATTTGGTGTAATTCTTGCTATTGTTGTTCACTTTCACAAAAGACTCAATTCATTTTAGAATTTTTGAGTGTTTTTCTCATACTCACAATTAGGAAAAGCAATCCCTAATTATATAATCACTATCCAAGACTCAAAGTGGTTATTGAGGTGATTATCTTAAGTTATATCCATTTTCTAATGAAAGTGAATTGTAATTGTCCAAAACTAAGTGGCAGTTAATGGGCCACTTAGCCTTCAAATTTTGTCGCCATCATGTGTGATATGTCCTCTAAATTTCTTTCGTACAAACAAATATAATAAAAAAATGATACATAAATTAATGGTTTGATAATCATTAATGGAGTAAAAGAATCAATAGTATTAGGTAGATGTGAAAGCAAGATAAGCAACTACTGGATGTGGGAGTTACACTTCTTTTATTTATTATATTTATTTGTACCAAAGAAATTTAGAGGACATATCACACATGATGTGCCGAAATTTTGAAGTTCTTATGGAAGTCATTGTCCATGGAGTTATTTTTATTTAATTTGAAATATCATTAAAAGATGTAAAGTGGAACCACTCCTTCAGAATTGTGTTCAATGTAAAAAGTATTTTTGTAGCATTGCAAAGTGCGAATGGAATATAATAAATATGTAAACTTTAATTTTGATCTTTATCGAAAATACAATAAAAAATAATGAATGAATATAAATATATATCCATGCACAGAATTGATGCTTGTGAGCTATGCTATTTACTTCAATTCCCTTCTTTGTTTCTTCATTTAGAGTCGTTATCGTTGTACCTTCCTTAATTAATTTCAAGAAAGGAGAGCTCCAGAGAGCCATGCTACACGATCGAAGAAGAAGGGGTGAACATGATGGTATGAGTCCACAGAAATGTTTTGTGTTTAAATTACATTTCATAATAACATCCCGTTCATCATTAGCTTAATGCGTAGTTAGTGCAGGAAAAAGGGATTATTATAGCCATTAGTTCATCATTAGTATAGAGAAACCAAGATAAGAACTAAAGTGTAAGACCGATTCGCACAACTTTTATGACCGCTGCTTGTGGGAAGATATTATATAAATAAAAAACTATTAAGTGGGGATACTGACTACAGAAACAATTTCAGTTGTTTTTACTGTGGAAAAATGAAAAGCAGAGCAGTGGCCAGTGAGATAGTGAATTTAAGTGATCGTGTAAATGGCGGGAAAGAACTTTGTGGTTGACATGCATGCGTATAGTCTGTGTGTGTTTGACACCACGTGGCCCTTGTGCTTTTTGCTTCTCATCAGCTATATATATATATATATATATATATATCCCAGTTCCATGTCTCGTTTTGTACACTGATCAATTCACTTCATTTCTTTCTCTCACGCAGAACAATAACATTAATTGTTCGGTTTTGTTTCTCTTTTAAGCTAAACTTAGATCCATCAAAGAAACAAGACTGATATCTCTTCTTTTCAACCATTTCTTAGAAGCTTGCCTTGTTAATTTTTATTTACAGTACACAAACATTCAGTTAATCATTTTAAAGTAGAGTTGCTTATTTTTCTTGCTCTCTGTGATGGGTGAGAACACTGGCAACAATAACTACCTTCCTCAAAACCAAGTTTTTGATCTTTCCCTTGACGTGCATACTCAAGGCGGCTCCAATTCCTTGGATGACGATGGCCGCCTCAACCGAACTGGTAATTTACTCTTCTTAAAGCAAAAAGTAAATATGTTATGCTTTTAGTAAGTAGAAATGGTACTTCAGTTAACGTCTTTATTAATGATTCTTCTTTTTTCCTTTTTTTGAACCAGGGACTGTTTGGACTGCAAGTGCTCACATAATAACAGCTGGGTCGGGAATTCTGTCCCTGGCTTGGGCCATAGCTCAGCTGGGATGGATAGCGGGGCCAACTGTCATGATCGTGTTCTCTTTTGTCACTCACTACACTTCTACTCTTCAGCTGGCTGCTAGTTACCGTTCAGGGGATCCTGTTAATGGCAAGAGAGTCTATACTTTCATGAGTGCTGTTCGATCCAAACTTGGTAAATTTCACCCTGTGAAAATATCTACAAATCTACATTTAAGCAACTGCGTTTCACTCAAATATCTAATTACTTTTTCCCTTTTTTTTTTTTCCACAGGTGGAGTTAAATTTATGATATGTGGGCTTGGTCAATACCTGAATCTTTTTGGTGTTGCCATTGGCTACACAATTGGTTCATCTATGAGCATGATGTAAGTTTTATTTTATTTTTGTTTCTAATTTTATATATAAAAAAAAAAACCCCTAAGTATTCTAAATAGAATTTGATGTTTGTTGTTTTAGTGGCTTAATGAATTTCTGGTTTTGGTCAATCAGGGCTATCGACAGGCCTAGGTCAAACTGTTTCCACATAGGCGGTGGCAAGAATCCATGCCGCGTGAATAGCAATCGATATATGATTGGTTTTGGCGTGGTACAAATTATTTTCTCTCAAATTCCCCACTTTGATCAGTTATTATGGCTCTCCATTGTTGCTGCAGTCATGTCCTTCACCTACTCAACAATTAGTCTCGGTCTTGGCATTGCTAAAGTTGCAGGTGACTATGGCAATCTGCATCTGTAGTAGAGAATTTTATACTATGCTTGGATTAAATTTGCAGGAAGTTGTTGGTTATAGAAAAGCTAAGTTAAGTTTTTTGTTTACTTTATTTCCAGAAACTGGAACTTTCAGGGGAAGTTTAACTGGTATAAGCATTGGAACTGTTACTGAAACCCAAAAGATATGGAGGAGCTTCCAAGCACTTGGAAGCATAGCTTTTGCTTATTCTTACTCCATCATCCTCACTGAAATTCAGGTACATCTTCATTTTCTAATAAATACAAAAACAGAAAGTGTTTGATATATATTTCTTTTGGGACAATTTAGATGCTGATATAAACTAATGGATAATTGGTATGTAACAGGGCACAATCAAATCCCCACCATCAGAAGAAGAAACAATGAAAAAGGCATCACTAGTAAGTGTTGTAGTAACAACTCTATTCTACATGCTCTGTGCCTGCTCTGGTTATGTCGCCTTTGGAGACTTATCACCAGGAAATCTCCTCACCGGTTTCGGTTTCTATAACCCTTACTGGCTGCTTGACATAGCCAATGCAGCCATTGTTATCCACCTTGTTGGTGGATACCAAGTGTACTGCCAGCCCCTCTTCGCATTCATTGAGAAACAAGCTGCTGCAAGATTCCCAGACAGTTACTTCATTACCAAAGAAATTAAAATCCCAATTCCAGGATCTAGACCCTTCAGTCTCAACCTCTTCCGTTTGGTTTGGAGGACAACTTTCGTGATCGTAACCACTTTAATTTCGATGTTTCTTCCATTCTTTAACGACTTAGTTGGTCTGCTTGGAGCTCTAGGATTTTGGCCACTCACAGTCTACTTCCCTGTTGAGATGTACATAGCAGATCAGAGGATACGCAAGTGGAGCACGAAATGGCTTTGCCTCCAAATCCTAAGTTTTTCTTGCCTTGTTATCACCATAGCTGCCGCTGCGGGGTCTATTGCAGGAATTATTCTTGTCCTTATGTCTGATTACTAGTTCAGTTGAATCGAAATGGTATTCGCCATTCATCAACATTTTCCAAGACAAGGAAGAACTATAACGATTAGAATTTTCAGTTCTTGTTCATGTTCATTAGTTTTCTGTTGTTTTTTTTTTTTTTTTTTTTTCATCTTTAATCAAACGAAAGCAGGATATATATATAACTTTGCCTATTTTCCAAATGCAAAAATACAAGAAGTTAAGCCAATTAATGCTAGTATGTCTCCGTCTCTGTTCATTTATTGTACATCAATTAACTTCTCATGACACAACTGACCATCAACAAATCAGTCATCAAATTAATACCATCCAAATAATTGGCGGGATAATGTTCCATCGATCTGCAGCTGTTGGAAGAAATAAATATCAACTTGTAATTGAACTTCCCTTTTTCTATTTTCTCCATGCTGAAATGATATGCATGGCACCATATGCTAACTTCGTAGAACCATTCGAAGTGCCTATTTATAATACGCTCTCAAAAACAGGGAAAAAGACAAAAAAAAAAAAAACACATGGGTCAGTCTGCGGGACCGTTAAATGCCATGTTCTGAAAAATTTTCCGATTGCTATCTCTGTTCAGACTGAAGAAGAAGCTCAATTTGATCATAACTTCAACAATAAGTACAAATGGGAAGATTTGAGAGATGGATCAGATTCAGAATCGCTTGAGTTGTTACAGTAGAAGGAGTGAGCTTTCTTTGGAGAGTAATGTTACCCTTACCTACTCACTTTACTCACTTCTCTTACTCACTTTTGTAAATATATAGTATAATACAGATATTATACGTATAGTATGGATATCATATCTCATTTTAACAAAGTGAGTAAGAGAAAGTGAGTAAAAGGAATGAGTAAGGGTAACATTTTTCTTCTTTCGAAGGCACATGTACACACCCATAATTTACCGTAAAGACAATTTGATAGTCAAAAGATTTGAAAATGACATGTACCAATTTTATGTCCAAATCTATTAATAAATCCGTTTAAGAACAATATAATAATTTTATATCCAACCAAAAAATAAACTTTAATATTCATCATTAATTTTAAATTAATCTCTAAATCCTTAATTTTTTTTTATCCTCTTTTTTTATTTCATTTTTCTCTTCTCTCTCTTCTCTTTCTTTCCTTTCTTCTCCGTCTTTTCCCTCCTCCCCTTCTCTTTTTTTACTTTTCTTCTCCCTCTTTTCTCTTCTCTTTCTTTCGTTTATTCTCCATCTTTTCCCTTCTCTTTTTTCTTTTTCTTCTCCCTTTTTTTCCTTCTCTTTCTTTCCTTTTTTCTCCGTCTTTTGAGACTCAAAAGATGGAGAAAAAAGGATCTCAAAAGACGGAGAAAAAAAGAGGAAAGAATGAGAAGGGAAAAAAGGGAGAAGAAAAGGAAAAAACGAGAAGGGTTAATTTCATGTGCTTCAGATACTGGTCAAAATCATATAAATAATACATATATATTATAAAAATTTATGTGAACGACAATATTGGTGAAACAAGTGGCAGTAGTGGGGAGAGCCTCCACCCTAGCGCCCCAAACGGAGATTCATGCCAGTAAGCAGGCGGCGGTGTGGGCCCACTAAGTCAACGGCCATGAAAATTAGTGGGTGGAGGACTTACCTAAATTAAACAATAAATAATGTTATCTTTTCCATTTCATCATAATTATAATGGACATTAAAAATACAGGTGATTCTTCCAGACTTCCACCAATTGCGAGCGATTCACTTTATATTTAAACTAAATGGAAAGTTAAAAATGAGAATCTCCAAGAATTAGGACAGTTGATTCTTCCTGATTCACTTTATATTTAAACTAAATGGAAAGCCCGCACATTACGCGGGTATATTTATTAGAAGTTTTTAAAATAATTTATAAAAAGTTTTATAGCAATGAAAGCAACCAATTATATTTAGTTATGAGAATTGTTAAGTATAACTTTTTTTAAAGGTAAATTATGAGTTTATATTTCGATGAACGTAAAAGGACTAACACCAATTTTTATATTTTTATATAAATGTTATTTGTTTCGATAAATGTGAAAGGACAAATATGAATCTTTTGTCTTTTTATTTAGATATTTGAAATGGCAATATAATGTCATTATATAATTTTTATTAATATTTACAAATATCATACACTAATTAAAATCCTATACATTAAAATAATGTAAATTTTATTTATAAATGAAATTACCTATAAAAATTAATAATATTATTTACACTTGGTTTACATAAACTCTATTCCATTTGTTTTTTTTGGACAAATCATCACTTAATCCCTAAACAAAGAGAAAAACTATGAAAGTGACTGTTAAATATGGAAGCTTGAAACAACGTCGTTTAAGTAACATTAATACGGCGTCGTTTTAGGCATATTAACTTGGACGAATTCAAACCACAGGATGCACTCCAGATCTAACGGCCAGGATCAATCACGAAGTCAAACCATATATAAGCACATGTTCGTTCAGATTTGGCAGAGTGATATACAGTTGTTAGGGTTCTCTGTGTCTGCTCTTCTCTGTGTTAGGGTTGATATTCTTCATTCCAAATTGTGAGTTAAATCAGTCGAGTGATTAGGGGTTTTAATCATTTAGGTGAGAGTGTTGTTCTCTCGGGTTAGGGATATTCAGAGAGTATCTTGTAAGGCTGGTTGCTATTGTAATCGGGTAGATCTGGTGAGTGTTAAATCTGTGTAATCTTGACTGTTTCTGGTAATTGAAGTGCAGCGAGCTCATACCGTTCTTGAGCTCAACGTGGATGTAGCTTATCCATAAAAGGATAAGTGAACCACGGTAAATCGTGGCTTGTCTGTGTGTTTGATTTTGTGGTGTTTTCTTGTTTCTTGGTGTAATTGTTTTGTGTTGATAGATCAGTATTAAGTTTTCGGCTATAACAGTGGTATCAGAGCCATTTCTTGAAAGTGAAGTTCGTGTTTTACAAAATTAGGGTTTCGTAAAATTAGGGTTCTTCTGAGAAATTGGGGGTTTTTCAAATCAATTCCTGTGAGTCTCCAATTAAGTCCTAGAGAGTCAATCTTGATCGAGTGTGAGGGTATATCGGCTGGAAGACCAGTGACCGCCTTAAAAATGCATAGCAGTAATTGGCAACCTCTGGTGTAACAACGCCTCGTACGCCTCAGACTCACCTTCTTTGTCATTGTTTCGGTATAAGAAGTTCTTTTACGAAATTAGGGTTTTGTGAATTTGGGAATTTTTTGTTAAAGAAACAGAAATTAGGGTTTCACAAAATTAGGGTTTCGGAAATTGGGGTTTTGTGAATTGTTTACTTCNGGCTACACTGTCGACCTTGTTTTTGATGCTTCTGTACATGATACAACTTTTTGTATAAAGAATGTATATGTTTAATAAAAGAAAAATTTGGGCCCAACCTTTTTATGCTATTTTATATGTATTTCATTATGTACATGTTTTATGAGTATTTGAGTAGGAAGTGGCTATTACAATGACAAGCATATCAGGAAGAAGGATTTTGAAGTGGGGCAAAAAGTGTTGTTGTTCAACTCTAGACTTAGGCTATTCCCCGGAAAACTTAAGTCTAGATGGTTCGGACCATTCATTATTACAAGGATTCACTCATCCAGAGCAATGGAAGTTACACGTGAAGAAAAGGACACTTTTACGGTCAATGGACAGAGATTGAAGCCATACATTGATGGGGTGATGAGTTGCAAATCTATCCCAATACGGCTTGACATTCCAACTTGAAAAAATTAAGAGAGTCGAGCTTACCGACTATAAACAAGCGCTTCTTGGGAGGCAACCCAAGTGTTTAATTTTTTTATTAATTTATCTTATTTCAGTGTGTTGAATGTTTTTTATTCTTTTTAATTATTATTATTATTTTTTTTTTTTTTTTTGTTTTTTTGGGTGATAGGAAATCGTTTGGCTTAAGGGGAAATGTTAAGCAAAGGTGCTGAGAAAGTTTTAAACAAAATGGATGTCTAGCTTAAGGGGAAATGTTAAGCAAAGGTGCTGTGAAGAATAAGTGAAACAGAGTAGTAGTTTTAGAGAAGCTGGGTCTATTTTGTAATGATTGTATAAGCTACATGGCTTAAGTGTAATTACATAATTTAAAAGCACTGCCATTTTGTAACAAATATTGGCTATATAAGTGCTTATGTACTGTAACATAATTAGTCAATAAAATTTCCAGATTCTGCTTTTCTTCGTTCTACAGAAGCTTCCCCTGCACTTTTCTTTTCTTGATTTCTTTACAAAATCCTTTAGTGCCACTGTCCGATATTGTACCCAGTGTTGACTTGATAGTAGCTGGGCTTAAGGCTAGGGAATTAGAGCTTAAAACTCTTAAGAGGAACAATAGCACTCTGTTTGTGAAGGGTATATTAGAATTTGGTCAGTCTAGTAAAGGATTTCAGCTTAGTCAAGGGGGTAAGAATAAGAAGAAATGGAAGGGAAACAATAAAACCAAAACAAAAAGTAGGAAGTGTTACTACTGTAACAAGACAGACAATCTACAGAAAAATTGTTTTGACTGGAAAAAGAAACAGAAACTAGGAAATACAGAGAACAACCTAGCCACCACTAGTAACCAAATGGATGAACCAGAAGTCCTAACAGTGTCAATATCTGACACTACAAAAGAATGGGTTTTAGATTTAGGCTGTACTTTCCATATAACTCCTAATAGGAGTTAGTTCCAAGACTTTGAGGATTCTGATCATGAGACTGTATATATGGGAAATAACCAAGCATGTACAGTTAAGGGTATTGGCTGCATAACCCTTAGATTAAGTGGGGGAAAACTGATCAGGTTAACCAAAGTCAGGTATATCCCTAACTTAAAGAGAAACCTCATATCTCTAGGCATCCTGGATGAAGCAGGCAGCTGCTATAAGGCAAACAGTGGGTGGTTGAATGTCTATAAGAATGAAAACCTTGTGTTGACTGGAGAAAAGAAAAATGGACTCTATATACTTTGTGGTAGATTCTATTCTAATTGTAACAGCACAACTCTTGGGTC